TACTAAATTTCTCGAAATAGGAGCATGAAATAGAACAGCCCATAGGGAGGCACAAGTCCACGAAATATTTTCCCTCGAAAAAACATCCCAACAGGTGGTGGCAGTCCGGGTGGACTGGCAGCAGCCGAAACGCCGCCTCAATATCCACTTTTGCCATAAGTGCCCCATGCCCGGCCCGTTTAACCAGCTCGACCGCCCGGTCGAATGATGCATACGAGACCGAGCATAGGTCCTTATCAATACCGTCATTCACCGACTCCCCTTTTGGGTAGGAGAGGTGGTGAATGAGCCGGAATTTCCCCGGCTCCTTCTTTGGCACCACCCCAAGAGGGGAAACCCGTAGGTCCTCCAATGGGGGCACCGCAAACGGGCCCGCCATCCGCCCCAGCGCAACCTCCTTGTCTAGTTTCTCCCGTACCACCTCCGGGAAATCCGCCACCGACTTCAGGTTGCGCAACCCCCCCGAACCCCCCCGCTCCCGGAAGGGAATAAAGAAACCCCGCCCGAAGCCTTCCCTAAGTACCGAGGCATCAGTCCTGTTACCGTAGCGGCTTAGCCACGGCTCCATCGCGTCTAGCCTCACCGGCGTGAAGCCCCGGGGCAGGGGAAGCATTCCCTCCGGCCCCGGCAGCCGCTCCGGCTGTTCCCGCCTTCCCTTTTTTGAAACAGCGATTGAGCCCATGAGCACCCCCGCAACCGGAGCACTCATGCTTAAATCGACACGCGTTTCCCCATTTGCACTGGCCCTCATTGTAGAGCCAGCAGAAGCCCTTTTGCAAAGCGGCCGACGAGGCGGACTGCCCCTTCGCGCCGGCCGAGTTTGGAAAGGGCTGCGCCTTCTGGGCCATCATTAGCTTCATCCAGAGGGGCAGATCCATCTGATCCCACCTCATCCCCGGGTTAGCCGCCAGTCGCTGCCTGAACTGTTCATCGTAGCGCCACCATGCCAGCCCCCCATAGGTGCGATATGCTTCCCAAATGCCGTCCAGGTAGCAGAACAGGGACGAGCATAATCCCGGCGATTTTTCCCCCAGCACGCTGGCTAGCACGCAAAACGCCCGTAACCAGTTGCCAAAGGATTTCGGAATCTTGCGATACCGCTTCCTCTTCTCCTCCTCCTCCTTCTTTTCATCCTTTTTATCCTCCTCCTTGAGGTCAATAAAGTCCTCCAAGGGGAGCAGGGAGAAGATCTCGCAGAACTCACCTTTCCAGAGCTTCTCTTTCACGTCCTGTTTCAGATGAACCCCCAGGGGGCCCGCAAACGAGACGTATGCGTGCTGCCTCGCTGCATCCGGAATACCCCCGGCCAGTTCCGCCTTGTCACCCCCGGCCGCCATCGCCTCGGGCGCCACCCCCACGTCCCCGCCCGAACTAAGCCCCACGGAAACCCCACTAGGACCAGGGACCTCCGTCCCCGGGGCCCAAACCCGACCAACGCCACCCCCCGTGTCACCCCCCGCCCCCAGCGAGTGGAGCAGTGCTTGCAGTGTGCTAACCAAGGAACTGGAGTGTAGTGACCCACAAGACTCACCGGCCAAGCCCCCTGCAACTGACGCGGCAGGGGCTGCGTCGTCGACTGCCCGATGTCCAGGGAGAGCGACTCCCGCCGATACCTCGCCAACCGGGGAGCCAAACCGGTGCCTTGCCCGTGTCGATATGGAACAGCTCCGTGACCTGGAAAGAGGAGAAGAAGTCCTGGGTAGGGTGCACTGAGTATTCGCATCCCCCCCGTCTCGACCCTGGGAGCGCCTGCCCCTTGCCAAAGCCTCCCGCTGTGCCCCCTGCACGCGCCGCGCGCGGGAGCCCCTAGGGCTACGGCTCCTCCTGTCTTCCCCGGGCATCCGTCCCCGCCGACCACCCCTGGGGACGCTAGACCCGCTCTCTCCCGAGCTCCCTGACCTGGAGCGGCGCTGCCGGGACCTCCCCCTCCTCCCCCCCCTTCCCCGTGGCTCTACTTCCCGAACCGGAGAGGGACTACCACTACAGGACCCTGAACCGGACCCCCCCCCCTACTACCCTGCACCCCCAAACGCTCACCCCTCCGGCTAGAGCCCGACCCCCCCACCTGAACTGGCTCCCAGACTAAGGGGACCTAGACCCCCCTCAACCAGACTGGCCCCCCCAACCCCTAAACCAGGCCTACCCGACCCTACCCGCACCGGCCCAGCCCCAGAGCCCAAGGAGGCCCCCTTTCCCCTACTGTGGGAGCCCAGCAGTCCCTCCTCACCCACAGCCCCCCCACCCCTACCACTACTCCCCCCACCTATGACCCCTATGCCCTCCCCATCCACCACCCGCGGTCCCTGGGAGGCCTTCCCACCCCCCACTTGGGCCCTCCGCCCTCCGCCCCCTGACAGGACCCCCCCAGCACTTTTCCCGCCAAGAGGGCCCCGGCCGGAGCCCCCTGCACTTGCCTTTGGGGCCGGGAACCGGCCACGTGTCCTCCCGGTCCCGGCCCCGCCGATCTCCGCCTCCGACGGGGCGCGCGCCCTCCCGGGCCGCAGCTCCATGCTGCCCGCTCCTCCAGGGGACCGCCCGGCCACGTCCGACCCGGCAGCCGCGACGGCCCCGTCCCGACCGTCCCCCCGGCGCCGGGCACTGGTCCTAGGCTCCGGCCGCTCGCGGGGAGGCGGGGCCTCTACCACGCGGCTGCCGGGCCTGCTGCCGCCCGCACCGGAGCCTCCCGGACCACCAGGGATGTCTTCACCGGGTCCCACACCCGGGCTTAGCCGCTCTGGAGGCCTCCTGGCCCGAACAGGCCGTCGTCCGCCGCCGTCCTGGCCGCCGCCGCCGCCAGGGCCGGGCCTAACTGGGCCTTCAGCCAGTCAGCCCCCTGGTGCCTCGCCGCCGACCGGATCCGCTCCAGCAGTCGCTCCACTTCATCCATCGGCCCTGCAGGGAGACAAAAAGGAAAAAGCCCTACCAAGCCAAATCTGTGCCCACAGGAGCGAACACAAACTTAACCAGGTAGGAAGTTAAAATGAATTAACTAAAATGGCTGCCCATTTAAATAACCAAACCCACTTACCCATAACTCCACTCCCTTGCTTACTTCCTCCTAGGCCCGCCTCCTAACCCCTGTCAAGGCCTTTTTCCGCTTAGCTGCGCTTGGCTACATGGGGCTACATGATTTTATTAATTGTTCTACTAAAAATGTTATATATCTGCTCGAATGCCCCTGTGGCCTCCAATATGTTGGAATGACCACAAGGTGCTTAAAAACACGCTTAAGCGAGCATTGCAGAAACATCAAAAATGGATACCAGAACCATTCAGTATCCAAACATTTTATTCAACACAATAGAGACCCTAGTAAGCTGAAATGTATAGGCATAAAAAAATGTGTGATTCCCTGGAGGGGTGGAAATATTAAAAATATTTTAGGTAAAATAGAAATGGAGTGGGTGTACAGACTCCAAACTCTTACACCCCATGGTCTCAATGTAGACTTTGATTTGTTCAATTTTTTATAATTTTTTAGCATCTTTTTATAATTTTTTTTTTTTTTTATATTCTTATATTGATATATTTATATTTTTATTTTTATTTTTACATCTTCTTCTGTCAGTTTTTTTTAAGTAGCCAGTACACCTTCCCATATCCATTTTATTCATTTTATTCGTTTTATGTAATATGCTCCACTTATTATTTTTACTTATGTTTCCCTTTATGGTTTCCTTTTACATGCTCGGTCGGCCGCACTCTTTTTATGCCGACAAGCTTTTTCTGTTGCTCAGACGACGGCTGCAGCCTTGTGCTCGCCGTCGTCTGTTTATTTGGTTTCCTGGACGACGGCCGCATTCCCGTGCAAGCCGCCGTCGCTCCACCCCTCCTACTGACGTCAGCCGCAATTAGTGTGCGAGCTGACGTCTTACTGCTTACATAGACGCCGGCGGCTGCGCAGTGCGCGCCGGCGCCTACACTACTACTCCCATACTCCCCAGCGGCATGGTGCCGGTCACATGACCGCACACATTAATTTACAAATATAGAGTTATACTTTTCGTTTTGCATATGTACTAATGCCATAATACTTATAATGAACATATGATTGTATAAGAGTGTTGATCTTTCTACTTTTATACTGTTTTATCAACTTATGTTTTTACTCCTTGTTGATTGGCTGCTCACTTTAGGCGCCAATTTTATAGAATTACAGTTGTTATATAAACTATGTTATGCCAGGTTTCAGGTTCTTACCCCATTTTTGGTGAAACGCGTTTATGGACTTTTAATTGTGTATTTTATATATATTAAAGTATATTTGGTTACTTTTTAATCTGTGCCATTTATCCTTTTTATACACTCTAATTTATTTACTACCTGGCATTTTCTCAACATCTCGGACTCCAAGAAATCCTAGGTGGGGATCATACCACCAGCGCTACGTCAAGGAGCAGTTGTTCTGCTCCCGCCTTGTGAGTACCCATTTTATTTTCATTTATTTTATTACCAACATTGTATCCAGGGTACACTATTGGCTGTTTCTTTCTACCCGAGTGTCTGATACACCAGTGACGGAGGAAGTCCACCCTATATCCCATAAGCGGAGATCAAATCGCTGTACGCCTTCTATACTAGAGCAAGTTTAGCTCTTTCAAATGTGAGTTTTATTTTTCCCTTCTTATTCATTTTTTAGTGTTTTAACATTTTATTTTTAATTTTTTATTTTTGCAGTGCATTAAAGAATGACATATAGGCCTGAGGTGCCCCAAAGGCAGTCCTCTGGCTGAGCTGTACTGTATATTTGACATGCACAATTTTTTAATATAGAGAACAGAAACGATAGTAGTTACATCCCTCTATGCCACATTTAGGAAGAGACATTCTACAAGAGGGTTAAGCATAGAGTGGAGTAACAGATTAACATTAGACTAGCCAAGCTTTAGGTATATGTTGTACAACATGCTATGAAACTGGCAGTGTCAGCATATTGATAAAGTAGGTTTGACAAATTAGTGATTTAAAGCTGGGTTACGGTATCACTGGGTGCAGATATAATGCAGCTATGCATGGTATGGCTCAAAAAGGAAAGTACCAGATTCAGATGTAGAGTATAACTATTAGGCATGTGCTTCAGGATAAGGTATAAAGAGTTCACTCTGGTTTGGAGGGCTCAGTGTGTGGCCGTCTGCTCGCTTAGAATCACAGTTCCAGCGGTGGCCGCAAGCCCTGCCATGCCGCGATGTCGTCAGCCAATTCCCTCTGTGGGGTAGTCGCGTGTGCCTTCCAGCAGGTCACGGTAAGCCATTGTCGCGGTCCCCCTGCGCTTTCTGCATCTTTCACCCGTGTGGGCTTCTGCATACCGCGGCATCTGGGCTGCTAGTTGTTCGGTTTGTTGTTTAGCCCCGTGTTGGCTGAGGTGAGTGTCCAGGCGCTGCAGGCTGTGTTGGGGATGTTTGGTGCATAGGGTTTGCGATCGCTTGTGCCAGCCGCCATCCTCCGCCATCTTGGATGTACCTTGCTGCCTCATGGCGTTGGGAGGTAGTATTGGCCAGCTGCCTGTGCCACCCAGCGAGGACCGGGATAACCCCCGCCGGTCCAGAGGGGGGGGGGTTAGAGGTGAGTACGGTGAGGTTTCCATCTGCGAGGTTACCAACCAGGAGAGCGGCCGCCTCTCCCTGGCTCGGTCGCAGCTAGGCCTCAGGTTGGAATCGTGGGGACCCGGTGAGTTGCGGGTACAAGATTAGTATTAAAACGTTTTCCTGGGTCTCCCCCACTCTGTAGTCACACTCCCAGCGGTGTGGGCGCGATGATTTGGGGTATATCCCCCGTTTTAGTGGCTGGCTTGCAGGAGCTATTGTGCAGCACGTCCACTCTGCTAGGAAGCTAGGCTCCGCCCCCTGATAGTACTGATTTTCTCAATTTCTGAACTGCATGACAATGGATTAAATGGACAAACAGCTGTCTCCACTTAAATTTGAATCATTTTGTATTTAAGTAAATTTAAAGAGAATTTAAAATCATAGGCCAACATTGCTGAATTGGAAAAATCTTTATATCAGCTAGGTTTTTGGGTTGCTCTAAAACCTCACTTTCAATTCCTGAAAATGCACACCTTACTGGTTACTAGTTCATACTTTACTGGTAGTTCTTTTCAGACTTAATGATAATGAATATTTTTATATTCTCTCTGAATTGTCATTTAATTGACTTTGACACTTGACTCAATAACCCCATCAATATAACTAATTATCTTAGAGGTCCACATTTTTTTATATTGTATTTCTTGTTAAATGAACACTCACAGTACCATAACCACTACAACCTGCTATAGTGGTTAAGGTGCCAGGAGTGCCCTGGCTTCATACCAAGAGAATCCAGTTAGCTCTACAGAGCAAAGCATAGCCATGTAGGACTATGTAAGACCATATAGCACATTCTCATGCCAACGAGTGGTCTCCTGTATCAGCTGTGCTGTACTCTAAAGAGAAATCTGGCTTACCCTGCTGGGGAGGACTAGATGCGGCCACGTGCATCCAGCAGGACCCAGGCAAGTTGCCAAACTATACTAAATCATAGTGATATCGTATGATGCAATTTACATTTAGTCCCCTCTATCCTGAAATGTATGTCCTGTCATGGTTCTAATTGGTTTCTTTCTTTCTGAATATGATTTTGGTAAGTTTTCTAGTTGTTCCTTTTATTTTGTAATTTTTTGCTACACTTACCTTAACCTCTGAGTCTAACATCTGATTCACTGCTAGCTAGGGTTAGGTGATTCCTAACAATACTTAGGAACACATCTGACACTGATTATTTAAGTAGCTATCGAGGAACTTTGATTGGTATGTTACTGGGACTTTCCTATTTTTTATGTCACTACAGTTTGTATTTCTCTAGTTAAACAATGATGGTGATAATTATATTAATTTTGAGAAAGGATCTTTATTGAGCTGGAACGTTGAGACAGGACAGGACTGGAACTGATGCCATTTGAACATGTTCCGTCCTTCCTATAGCTTAGATTTGGTGCTGTCATTTTTAACCTTTCTTGCCATAGACCAATTAATTATTTCTCCCACCCCAGCTTCTTGTATATTACTGATTTTGTTTTGGTTATTTTCTTATATTTGCCATCACACACCCTTTCTTTCATGCATTTGCCCATGCACAATTTTAATATGCATTTTTGTGTGAGATTCACTTGATCTCATTATACTTCTCTTTATTATACCTTACTACTTATTAAAACACCCATTAAAAAAAAAAAAAAAAACAACAACAGCAACATCGTACTTCGGCAAACTATTGTGGTGATGGTGTTTGGAGTGTTCTTTAAGGAGTTCAGTAAAAATATTTAAAAAGTGTAATTTTTATTTTATCATAATCTTCTTATCTATTATCAGAATATAAAATTCATGTCACTTTTTAGTGCAATAACTGCAAGATTACAGATAACCCAGGAGTTCACAACAAGCCCCTACCCACTGTATATATACACAATATCTCATCTAACAGTAAACTGGTGCAGTAGAATAGCACAAAAAGAGTAGAGGGTGTATCTTTGAATTTCGGGAAACTTTCAAGAGAATTGTATAATTTAGTATAATAAAATAAGTTTGGCAACTTTGCTATTTGGCTCTAGATTTTGCAATTCCATTGTCAGTTCTCAGCAGTACACAGTATGGGGATGTGCATCCATAGTCTTACAATCTGATTTTTTTTTTACCTGTAACTTGGTCAGCACAGCGGGATGTCAAAGCCCGCTATAGGAAAATTATTCTGATACAGTAATGCACACTCTTTATGACTAGAAATGTAATTACCTTTCAATTTTTACAGATTTCCTTCAAGGTTGGTGAAAATCACCGGTTGTGTAATATAAAAGTAAGCACCTTAATGTTGATGACCCAATATATATATTTTTTTTTTTTTACTGTATGGTATACATCTTTTAACCAGTAATCAAACAGACAAGGGCTGTGGGGCAGAAACAGACCAGAGCTGGGAGGGAGACACCCATGGTGGGGTGAGGGGACACAAGCAAACACAAAGCGGCTTAGGGGACACAGACAGACACAAAGGGGCTCAGAGGACACAAGCCGACACAAAGGGCTGAAGGGCCACAAGCAGGCACAGAAGAGCTGAGGGGACACAAAGAGAGGTTGGGTAAGGGACACACACTCTACATCAACTATACACACACAAACTGCATTTACTATACACACTGCATCCACTATATATACATACACACACACAGTGAATCTACTATACACACACACTGTGAATCTACTATACACACACACTGTGAATCTACTATACACACACCTTGTGAATCTACTGTACACACACACTGTGCATTCACTACACGCATTGCACCCAGTTCACACACTGCATCCACTACACAGACACTGTATGCACTACACACACAGCATAACATAATGGATATGGGCAGGCTTTGGTGGGTGTCATTTTTTGGGGGGATGCAACATTTCCTCCTTGGGCCCAGGCAGCACAATGTGTTGGGTCAGCCCTGATGGGGTGATATACTAAATAATCTCTAATCAATAGTTTGCCACTCAAGTCTCAGATAAGTTGTAGCTCATTGGTATTATTACATAGGGACCCTACATAATATGGCAGATGTTCTGTTTGTCATTGGTCTTTTTTCTCTGCTAATTACAGTGCTACGTTGATGGACCATATGGGACACCAACTCGTCATATCTTCACATCAGAACATGCTGTGCTGATTGGAGCAGGGATTGGAATCACACCATTTGCCTCCATATTGCAGAGCATCATGTACAGGTGCTTATTATAGAAATACTGATTGTACAACCAGGAAGATCTTAGAATACAGAGAAAGCCTAGGCATGTGATCATACTTTTCCAAACCTCTCCTTAATTATCTTTAACAGGATAGTCAGCAAAGACAGACTATCTCAGCCACTACTTTTAAACTGGCTGACCATTTTAGTTCCATAAGGCAGACAGCTGTTAAAAGTCATGTAGAGTAATATATTAATTTCAGTTATAATCTACTAGGCATTGGCACCAAGTGAATACACAGTTTTATCAATGGGCAGAAATACAGAACACAACAGACCTACAGATGGCATACATGCGTATTGCATGCATCTCCAACCACAGAGTGTTTTGCATATTTGCAGCAAGAAGCTAAAAGAGATAACACCAAGAACAGACAAAACGTCAATAGTTTGCCCTACACTTAGTCCCGTTCAAATATAAACTAAGGCCAGGGACTAATGAAAGTATTTAGAAAATTGGACAGATGGGCCGAATGGTTCTTATTTGCCATCACATTCTAAGTTTCTAAGTTGTAGCTCATGTGTATCATTACACAGGGACCCTATATAATATGGCATATCAGAGCGATCCTAACCTCAGCAGCAGTCTGAAACCAAAATGCAGACAGATCTCATGTGCAGAAGCAATACAGCAACCACAATCTAATGTTTTATCCTTCTTGTGGTATGTGAAACCAAATTATGTAGCGTTGTAGAGTTGCAGATATGAAAGCCAGAAAGATCTGATTATTTCAAAGTTAAATTTCCAGAAAAGTGAGGTTTGAACCTCTGTGAATGATGGCTATTGGTGTTGAAAGGGTCTAGTTAAAAGATAGGGAACTTTCGGCACCCCAGATATTGTGGACTACATCAGTGTTTCTCAACCTTTTACGGAGAAGTACCCCTGCAGGTTTAAAGAATATTCCTAAATACCCTGCCTCGAGAAAGTAATTTGTATTGATTTAAATTCCAAATAGACCATGTAGACTATTTTAAGTTAATCCCATATTGGAAAACAAGTTTGATTAACGCTAGCAAAATATATTTTTAAAACAAATATGCCATAATGTGAATATTGTGTATGAACTATAAATTTGAAGTATAAAAGTCACAAAATGAAAATATAATACACGCATAATAGTTACACACAAAGGACACTGAAACACACACACATTTACGCACAGAGGACACTGACACACACAATTACACATAGAGGACACTGACACACACAGTTACACATAGAGGACACTGACACACACACACAGTTACACACAGAGGACAAAGACACACACATAATATATTAAAATAATTCAATTATTTTGCTTTATTTAAGACAGCAGGATGATTGATTTTCAAATGAAGCCTCTTTATAGCATCCTCAGTATGTATGTTGTAAATATAACTAATAGATTTTTTTTAAGACAATTTTTTTAGCCATTTGTAAACACTACAGAAGAAAAAGAACAATAGTACCACAGAGTATAACAGGGCATGCTAGAACCCACAAAATTCCAGAGCAGATTTACACATTTTGGAACGACTATCTAGGGAGCCAGAGGCCACCCCTCAGACATATCGGCAGTGATTTTTAGTTAGCATGTATAAAACACAACATAAAAGCAGCGGCAATGTTAATGTAAACTTACATAACCTTATACAACAGCAAATATAGCAGTTCTGGCTCCCCAGCAATCGCAGCATCACAGAGCCGCGAGGCAGTGGTGGATAGTTGTAGAGGAATAGGAGAGAAGCATAGATGAAAAAGTGAAGGTAGAAAAAGATGGGGAGAGAAAGAGGAGGGGGTGGGGGAGAGAAAAAAAAACATTTTAGATAGAAGAACTAATTAAAAGTATATATAACGGAGAGGAAGCGGGGGGCACCCTCCTCTGGGTGAACTAATATAATTGACCATCAATGTATTGCTTTGTTTCCATGTTATTGTTTGTCATTGCAGATATCGGATGAGAAAACAGAATTGTCCCAATTGCAAATACTCATGGTGTGAAAATGTGAAAGACAATGAAATGAATCTGAGGAAGGTATGCACTAAGCTACACATGCGTATATCTTACTTTATTTATATATATTGCACACTTGATTCTGTGCAAGTGTAGGTACCCGGCAAATGAGAGGAAGAGGTTCAGTAAAGCAGGGATTGGATTTTCATTCACAGGGCACAAGTCACTTGAACTTGTATAAAATTGGATTGAAATATTGAACTTGCATAAAATATAACTTGTAATAGTCCAGATCATTCCAGGCAAAGCCAGCACAAATTGCAAATAGGAGTAGGTGTAGTAATATTTGATTTCTATTCATGGTTTGCTTTCTGCTGACTGACAGGTGCAAAAGATAGAGCTAATGACAATCAATGAAAGGGAGCTAAGATGGAGTACAATATGTGTTGATTTCTACATTTAAATTTATTTTGCACACCACAAAAATGCATATTAATAAATTATGGGGATAAATAAACATAATATAAATACCAGTGGGAAGTGAACATTCCCCTTTAAAGGGACACTATAGTCACCAGGACCACTACAGGTTAACGTGGTGGTTCTGGTGTCTATAGCCTATTCCTGTAGACTAAGTAATGTACACACTGTCTTTTCAGAGAAAAGGTAGTGCTTAAACTGCTGCCTAGTAACACCTCTTGTGGCTGACATTTAGACAGCCACTTGAGGGAATTCCTAGAAGAGGTCCTGCAATCTTTGCAAGACCTATGCCCAAAGTAATTCTGAACACTCCCCATAGAGATGCAATGATTCAATGCATCTCTATGAGAAGATGCTGATCAGCGTAGCCTCCCACTTGTCAAGGTACTACCCCAACATGGTCCACCCATTGGACAGTGCTGTGGAATTTGTTGGCGCTATGTAAATAATAATAATACAGAGTCATACGGAGACATACAAACACAGACACTGATATACAGATATACATAGACATACAGACAGGGATACGGACACAGACAGTCATTGTAGAATATTGCATATTCTATGTTTCTATTGATTATATATGGATATGTGGATTGACATAAGTAACAGATGGTATAAGTCACAAGGCTTTCTTTGTCCGAGAGCTCTGGAATGTGGATTTGGGGGTCTTGTCCTTATTTGGAGTTATACTCTGACGTCATTATAGCACTTCTATATAGTAACTGAACAAAGAGACATGAGGGCTCTTGGCTCTGTACAACGATGTAACTCTCCCATCAGAAGTACAGCAATTACCATCTGCTGTTGAAATCCATTATCCTGTAACATCCTTTGTTGTTTTATTATGTATCCGTAACTAAGAATAAACCTGAAGAAACCGTAAGTCAGTTTGCGTATTAGTACTTTTCAATAATATAGACATACATTATTGTGGCGAGCATTTGGCCCAAGACTATATATACAAAAGACGTATATATATCAATCAACTGAAGACAAGAAGAAAAAAAGATTTAACAGTGACGATTCCAACCAGATTTTACATTGGTCAGCCAGCCAGTCTTCTATTCAAGTTTTGTTCCCACTTCAAGAGGGGAGAGAGAAGAATCGAGTTACAAACTTGAAGAGAAAAAAAAGAATCTAGACTGTCACAGAAGTACTGTGGTTTGTAAGAAAAAGAACGTTTTCAAATCACAAAGACTGTACAAGACTATTTTCTACAACTGAGACAAAAAGCACAAGATACAACGTGAATTCTAGAAGCAAGCACGTGGCAGAGATTGGCAAGCGTCCAGATCCAAGTCAAGAACTGCGCAGCTGTGTGGATGAAGCAACGAAATAAACAGAAATAACTGATCTGGTAAAGCGTGACAGATCCTTGTGGCAATAAATCAGGAAAGCATTCCTTCAGACAACTGGACATCGACTGTTGGAAAGAGACTTTTCATCTGATCTGCAAACTGTGATGGAAGATTCTTCAGAGTTCATTCGATACAGAAGATTAACAGACATACAAAGAAATAAAATTCTGGCACTAACATACATATCAATTCCTAAATATTAACGAAGTAGTACTTAAGTAATATCAGGTATTGAGAATACTATGCTATATGTATCTGTAGGAGTATGATAGTGATACACAGTTATTATTTAAAAAGTTACGATCTTGATTTTGTTGTCTACAAAGACATGACTGTACCTGAGCAGGTAGATCTTTCTGATTGCCTTATTGTTTATTGGATGAACATTTGTAAATATTTTATTTTATTCATTTATTATTGTTATATATATGTACATATTATGTTCAAGTAGTTATAATGTAACATGGATATGGATATCAATACATAGCTGAAACAGAGGGAGTTTGATGTAAAGTAAGCAGTATGAGGGATAGAAACTCTACCGTCTAAGAACTCTCATATAATAGAAAGTTGTGACTACATCTTGTTCTATGTTCAATGACTGTGATACGAGTGATGTATGAATGGACAGGTTAGTGACATTGTGTTATGGTTTTAAGACAAACCATAAACAGAGGGAATGTAGAATATTGCATATTCCATGTTTCTATTGATTATATATGGATGTGTGGATTGACATAAGTAACAGATGGACTAAGTCACAAGGCTTTCTTTGTCCGAGAGCTCTGGATTTGGGGGTCTTGTCCTTATATGGCTAGAGTTAAACTCTGATGTTAGTATGAGCACTTCTATATAGTATCTGAACAAAGAGACACGAGGTCTCTTGGCTTGTTCTCTCTCGATGTAAAGATGTAAGGATGTAACTCTCCCATCAGAAGTCCAGCAATTATCAGACTGGAGCAATTTAAATGGAGTCCAAGAGAAATGGGATTATTTAAAAGTCGCACTAAGGCAACAGAAAATTGCATCAGGCTTGTCAGTAAAAGCAAAAAATTCAAGAAACCACTGTGGTACTCCACAGATGTGGCCAAAATAGTTAAAAACAAAAAGTTAGCATTTAGGAATTATAAAAAACCTAGAGTGAGGAAGACAAAATGATCTATAAGATTAGGCAGAAAGAGGCTAATCAAGTTATAAGAGCTTCCAAATCACACACAGAAGAGAAAATAGCACAGTCAGTAAAAAAGGGGGATAAAACATTTTTTAGATACGTAAATGAGAAAAGAAAAGTAAAACAAGGATTAGTTAGATTAAAAACAAAAGAAGGGGGGGCGGGGCCAGGCCGCCAAGCAAGATGGTCGCATGTCAGACGAGCTCCTGCAACTTAAAACAAAATAAGCATGAAAACCAGACTTTTGGCATACAAAGACGACCAACTGCGGTGGACCTCATCGGGTGGAGAGTACCGGACCCAGGGTGAGGCTGGCCTCACTGGCGCAAACGAGGCCTACTCCGGCGGTGAGTGGAGCAGACGGCCGCTGCCCCACTATCCTGCCCATCGGTACTCAGCCAGGGCCAGAACCGTTGGGAAATGGCCCCGTCCCCCCCCCTCTGGACCGGGGGGGTGATCCCGGTCCTCACCCCCACACGCCCCGACCATCCAGGGCGCAGCAGCAGGGCCGCCCTGCTCCGACACCAAGACACAGCAGTCAAGATGGCGGAGGCCATATGTGATGGCGCGAAAACCGAATCCACTACAGGCTACTCACCAAAACAGGCAACGAGGCTCAGAAGTAGCCCACACTGCTCCCCCTTCGGAGTGCTTGCGGGCAGGCCCGGCGGGAGGTGGCACATTGGTGGGGGATTTCTGCCCGATACACCTTTACAACAGGGCTGCAGCGTCTGATGACAGCCCAACCACAAGGGGGCAACAGCACCTATGAACTCTTCATGCCGCAGCTGAAATCCATCGGCAAAGTAACCTACAGTTAGAAGAGGACATTTGCTGCAGGTTCCCGGGATACCTGAGACGTCTGCCACCGCCACACTGCAACACTCGACACCATGCTGAAATGTAACCCTTACTTGGGGCCCTCTCTTGCCAACCTCCCCAGGGACTGTACTGGGCACTCGGAAGGGATCGGCTGAGCAGCTGCACAGGAACGGAGCCTGCCAGGCGCACACCTCGCTACAATTGGACTCTCTCATCATACCTCATAACATAAGATTTGCATTTCACAGGCTAGAAACGTGATGAAGAGCTGGGATGCCAGGGTAGGAGAGATCACAGGAGCCCAGGCTAGCTATTGTAGTCTCCCTCTATAACTAACCGATTGCTTGTTTTACCTATTGTTTTCTTATGTTATTTTAATATCTAAGCAACACCCTCCTACTCAGATCCTGGAACCCAGTGGGCTCATAGCTTACTCTGTATTAATTTGAACCCCCGCCATGTTTCACGGAGGCCATCTTGTCTGCAACCACTGATGCATGCTCAGCTTCTCCATCTTGAAAAGATATGCGGAGTCAGATGGTAGCTAGACAGTCATACCTTTATTCCACCATACTAGCGTTAGTTGTAAGCAGCTCATACTGTTTTACCTAGTTGAGTCCAGTTTAACTGTCTTACCTGTCAGTTTAAGCGCACCCTAACTACTGGGACATAATTATATAGCTTGTATTACTCTTGTTAAACTAAAAATTTGCAAGTTTACCAAAGCCATGACAATGTCCTTGTGTGAAAGTGTGTGCATGCAGAGGCTACTGTGGCTAAGCATACCTTTTTGTATATATCTGTACACAAAATACAGAATTAACTCAAGCCTGACCAAATATGACTATAAAATCAATGTATTTGTACAGCTGACACTGCAATGTTACCACTGCTTAAACTCTTGGACCATGGTTACTTTAATGCTTTCTTTAGGTATATAAGCTTGCCGATCTCACACGATGTCTCAGGCTAGCCGCACTGATTTAGCTTACACCATATCGTTAATAGTTCATCTGCTGTATCGTTACCTTTTTCACTTTAAAAAAATGTATGCATCTCTAACTTGACACAACACTGTTATCATATGTCTATAAAAAAAAAAAAAAAATCGAGCCTGCTATTGCTGTTGTGGCGACACAGGCACTGTTGTAACTACCTGCATACTAAAAATAAAGAATTTAAAAAAAAAAAGAAAAAAAAAGAAGGAAGGTATGTAGAATAGGATAAAGGTCTAGCTGACTGCCTCAATTAATATTTTTGTTCTGTATTTACAGATGAAAATGAAGGAAAGGGACCGCAGTTGAGAAAAAGGATAAATTAGTCATTTATTACACGTGAGTTTACAGAGGAAGAGGTTCTATTTCAACTGTCAAAAATAAAGACAAATAAGTCAATGGGACCTGATGGAATACACACAAAGCTATTAAAAGAGCTTAGTGGTGTACTAGCAAAACCATTAACAGATTTATTTAACCAATCATTGTTAACAGGAGTAGTCCCAGAAGATTGGAAGTTAGCGAATGTTGTGCCCATTTACAAGAAAGGTAATAGGGAGGAGTCGGGCAACTATAGGCCAGTAAGCCTTACTTCAGTAGTAGGGAAAGTGATGGAAACCATGTTAAAGGATAGGATTGATGAACATCTAAAAACACATGGATTTCAAGATCAGAGACAACATGGGTTTACTTCAGGGAGATCATGCCAAACTAATCTTATTGATTTTTTTGATTGGGTAACTAAAATTATAGATCAAGGTGGTGCAGTAGACATTGCTTACCTAGATTTCAGTAAGGCTTTTGACAATGTTGCACAGAAAAGGCTTATCAATAAACTGCAATCTTTAAGTTTGGATTCCAATATTGTTGAATGGGTAAGGCAGTGGCTGAGTGACAGGCAACAGAGGGTTGTAGTCAATGGAATATATTCAAAGCTTGGACTTGTCACCAGTGGGGTACCTCAGGGATCTGTACTTGGACCCATTCTCTTTAATATTTTTATTAGTGATATTGCAGAAGATCTTGATGGTAAGGTATGTCTTTTTGCTGATGATACTAAGATATGTAACAGGGTTAATGTTCCAGGAGGGATAAGCCAAATGGCAAATGACTTAGGTAAACTAGAAAAATGGTCAGAATTGTGGCAACTGACATTTAATGTGGATAAGTGCAAGATAATGCAACTTGGACGTAAAAACCCAAGGGCAGAGTACAGAATATTTGATAGAGTCCTAAGCTCAACATATGAGGAAAGGGATTTAGGGGTGATTATTTCTGATGACTTAAAGGTAGGCAGACAATGTAATAGAGCAGCAGGAAATGCTAGCAGAATGCTTGGTTGTATAGGGAGAGGTATTAGCAGTAGAAAGAGGGAAGTGCTCATGCCATTGTACAGAACACTGGTGAGACCTCACTTGGAGTATTGTACACAGTACTGGAGACCGTATCTTCAGAAGGATATTGATACCTTAGAGAGGGTTCAGAGAAGGGCTTCTAAACTGGTTCATGGATTGCGGGATAAAACTTACCAGGAAAGGTTAAAGGATCTTAACATGTATAGCTTGGAGGAAAGACGAGACAGGGGGGATATGATAGAAACATTTAAATATATAAAAGGGAATCAACACAGTAAAGGAGGAGACTATATTTAAAAGAAGAAAAACTACCACAACAAGAGGACATAGTCTTAAATTAGAGGGACAAAGGTTTAAAAATAATATCAGGAAGTATTACTTTACTGAGAGGGTAGTGGATGCATGGAATAGCCTTCCAGCTGAAGTGGTAGAGGTTAACACAGTAAAGGAGTTTAAGCATGCGTGGGATAGGCATAAGGCTATCCTAACTATAAGATAAGGCTAGGGACTAATGAAAGTATTTAGAAAATTGGGCAGACTAGATGGGCCGAATGGTTCTTATCTGCCGTCACATTCTATGTTTCTATGTTACATAGTTACATAGCTGAAAAGAGACTTGCATCCATCAAGTTCAGCCTTTCTCACATATGTTTTGATGTTGATCCAAAAGAAAGCAAAAAAATCCAGTCTGAAGCACTTCCAAATTTGCAACAAACTAGGAAAAATTCCTTATTGACCCCAAAATGACAGTCAGATATCTATTTGGATCAAGAAGTTATTACCCCACTAATACCCTACTACAAATTATATCCCTGTATGCTATGTTTTTGTAAGTATTTATCTGATTGCTGTTTAAACATCTGTTTGAACTCTGATAAAACAACCTCGTCAGGCAGAGAATTTCACATCCTTATTGTTCTTACTGTAAGAAAACCTTTTCTTTGCCTTAGACTAAATCACCTTTCTTCCAGCCTAATGTGTGACCTTGTGTCCTATGTATAGCCCTGTTTATGAATAGATTTCCAGATAATGGTTTGTACTGGCCCCGAATATATTTGTATAATGTTATCATATTCACTGTGAGGTGCTGTTTTCCCAAACTAAAGAGATTTAAATTATTTAACCTTTCTTCATTATTTTTATCAATTTTGTACCCGGTCTCTCAACACTTTTTTTAAGTGCCATAATATCATTCTTTAGAACAGGTGTCCAAAATTGCACAGCATATTCAACGTGTGATCTTGCCAGAGATTTATAAAGAGACAAAATTATATTTTCATCTCGAGAGTGAATGCCCCTCTTTATACATGACAAAACCTTACTGGCCTTAGCAACTTCCGATTGACATTGCATCTTGCTTCCTAATTTATTGTTTATAACAATTCCCACATCTATCTTGTGTGTTGTTATCCCTAATTCACTACCATTTAAGGTGTAAGTTGCTTGTGCATTCCTTACCCCAAAGTGCATAACTTTGCATTTCTCTACATTAAATTTCATCCTCCATTTGAGTCGCCTGTGCTCCAATCTATCTAAATCCCTCTGCAGCAAAGCATTTAACTACTCACATTTTACTACTTTACAGAGTTTTGTGTCATCTGCAAACACTAAAACATGGCTTTCAAAGTGTCAAGGTTAATACTCCACAACACGCAAACCAGAGAACAATAAAGGCAAACACAGATAGACGTATTACCGGACCTTAAAGTGGCCAGACTTAACGTAGGAATGAGAGATAAGAATAGTCAAACACGCCAAGGTCAGGAATACAGAGACACAGGAAAGCGAAATAGACAGAGCCAAGGTCAGGGAGCCAGAAATTAGAATAACCAATAAACAAGCCGAAGTCAGAAACCAGAGAAAAGACAACTACTCAGAACGCACTCTCGGGCTATAATAAACCACGACAGGGCAAGGAAGTGATGTCAGAAGGAGGTTAATATAGGGCAAGGTGAATACTGATAGGCAGGGACAGAATTGAAGGAGGTATAAATAGATAGTGGCAATAGGCCACTATCTCTTTAAATTTGGAGTCCACGCCATCCCTGCCGGTTACCTGGTGCACGCGCACGTCCTCGGGCGCTCTCCCAGATGCAACGCCCGCCAGCGATCCACACCGCCCGACATGAAAGGACGGACGGCGGGACCAGGACGGCGCGGGACACCAGGTATGACACAAAGTCCATTTCAAGATCATTTATAAATATGTTAAATAGAAGCGGTTCCAAAACCTTGAGGGACACCACTTACCACTTTTGTCCAGCTTGAAAATTTACCATTAATGACAACTCATTGTATTCTATCCTTAAGCCAGTATTCTACCCAAGAACACAAATATTCATCTAGACCAATTTCTTTTAGTTTGAACACTTACCTATTGTGAGGAACTGTAACAAATGCCTTGGCAAAATCCAAGTAGATCACATCAACTGCAACACCATGATCTATACGTCTGCTTACTTCTTCGTAGAATGCAATTAGGTTAGCTTGACATGACCTATGTTTCATAAAACCATGCTGACGATTGCTAATAACAAAGTTCTTCCCAGTGAATTCCTGAATATTATCCCTTAATAACCCTTCAAATATGTTCCCAGTCACAGACGTTGAGCTCACAGGTCTATAATTTCCAGGCAAGGATTTTGAACCCTTTTTAAATATAGGAACAACATCTGCCTTCCTCCAATCCTCCGATACAATTCCTGAAAGAAAAGAATCTTGACAGATTAAATACAGAGTGTAGTGGACCACGGGTAACCCGACCGATTACCTCCGCTATTTCCTTCCTTCAGCCCCTCAGGAACCCTTAGCAAAGGCAGACACTGTCAGACAGCCATTCCCCCAGTAACTGGATGACACACAGTTCTGGAGGTACAACACTGACTGTACTCTGTTTATTTTGTCACACATTGTTTTACATGCACAGACCCCTACATGGGGTCTCCAACACAATACACCAGGAGATTCAATCCCAAGAAGATGATGGAAGTATGAAAGAGGGAAAAAGCAGCAAGTTCAAACTGGGCTGGCAGTGTCCCTGTGACCACGTCCTGCTGTGACAGGAAAAGGGAGGGGGAGAGGCACAGACAAGCAATACATTTCACTTAACTATACTTTACGCTGCTGCTGCTCCTCCCCCCCCTTTGTTGACCCACAGCTGCATATACAGGCACGTGTAAAACAGTCCCCAAAACAAAAGTGCCGCAATCTTCTGGCCAGCGCCAAACAAATAAGGCCATCCATCACATATCTCCCCCCATAGAAATAGACAGCGGGCACATGGGGATATGGCACTCCGTGATGGCGTTCCATCACACAGAGGTTCACTTATTTCCACACTTAACCGGTAAGTACTCCTGGGTGAACACTATCAGGCCCTGGAGCTTTATTTACATTCATTTCCTTTAACTGCTGTAGCACCTTGTCTTGAGTTATCCAATCACAAGTTATTTGAATGTTTTTTGCAGCAATCATTTGCATATCTCTTGCCATAGGATCCTCATTATTATATACTAAAGAAAAATAGTTATTTAAAATTTCTGCCTTTTCCTGGTCTTCATTAACTAACACTCTTATCTCTGTTTTCAGTGTTCCTACATTTTAATTTTTTTTTTTTTTAGAATTGATATACTTGGAATAAAATGTTGCTGTCTTTGGCTATCAGTTTCTAATTTTGAAGTTTAGCCACTTTAATTGCCTTTTTGCAAGCATTATTGGCTTCCTTATATCTTATATAGGATGCCTCTAATTTGTCCGATTTAAATTCTTTAAATGTAATTTTTTTATTTTTAATCGTAGGGGTTGCTTGACAGTTCAAGGACCTACTATTTGATCGCCCTTGTGCTAGAGGAAAGTCCAAAAGCCCTAGCATTTCCCCAATGTAAATAGTCAGACTGTTTGCTTACAGTTTGGCTTTTTAGCTTGAGTCCACCGAGTGCTCTTTTTCCGGTATTGAGAGATGGAATCTCCTGCAGGGAACTTACATTAGCAATCCTGAGCTAAGTTGGGGAGTGGAGGGCCAGCTCATTGGGTAAGAGAGTAAGCTGATCACTCTCAATGAGATGGCTGAGACATGCACCTATAGGCTTAGCTCAGACACAGAGATTCAGACTGCAGAGAGGAGTGGACTGGTGCTTGGGTGAAGGCAAACCATTAGCAAACAGTTTGACTAATTACCTTGGGGGAGGTGAGGGGTGAGGGAGGGCACATAGTAGTTATTGTGAATGGAGTATTTTTTTAAATAATAAAGTAAAATTCAGATCTCTAGATATATTTTACACTTGTTATATACATATTAACACAAAATTTCACATGCAGGCAAGAAGTAGAATCTAATCCCAATGTTGGATGTATCACTTTGTGTCATGCAGTTTAAATCATTCTCACCCAGGGTTTAAACTACAATTCTTGTTGAGTCTCATGGAATAGCTAACATACAAGGAATGCAAAATCAGGCAATCTGAGGTCATTGGTAGGTAGGGAGAAATTCCACCTATTCCACCCAAATTCCACCTATGCAGAACTGCAATGTCATTTAGCATTAATGTTCTCGTCTGTGATCAGCTTATAGGTGTTGGAGGCATAAAGGGAGTTGTGTCTCACACATATAGTGCCATCACAGCTGGGATGAGGGATTGTTGGAGGCGACTATGACAACAAATAGCATTTTGTTCTTTCATATAATCATAAATAATAACGGCTTCCTAAAGAGAACCTACTATTTTATTAAATTGCTCTTAATTCTATATCGTTGGTAGGTAGACTTTATCTGGATAAATCGGGACCAAAAGTATTTTGAATGGTTTGTGAGTCTCCTAACCAAGCTCGAGATGGATCAAGCTGATGAAGAGCTACAGGGTACGTAGTGCTGTCTTGCTGTCTCTTAGTTATTGTGTAACTATACAACCTTTATATGTAAATTGTTATTTGTGATATGATTTATGTACACAAAACTTTTTGTTTTATGACTTTTGACATAATGAATTTAATTTATAATAATGAATTTAAAAACCATAAAAAAATAATAATCACACACTCATGTCTGTATACGTTTTGCGCAGGCACAGATAAAGCATATACATACATTATTTAGATTTAAATGTATGTATAGATAGATGATCTTCAAAAACAATTGTATGGTGTTTCATACAATTTGAGGGATGGGCCAGTCTAAAAGTGGATAGGAGCAGAGATGTAGAGGATCCCTTTATAATATAGGGACTTTTTTTAGGGCAATCATTCCCCCACAAGGGTTTTGACCTTGGTTTTCGATGTTAGCCAGTTTCTGTTGCTACAATAAATATTGATGGTCAGAGGTATTTTAATAGCGTACAATCCAGAGCGTAATGGTGATCAATCCAAGGCCACAGATGTGTTAACTGTTTCTCTATGTGCTGAGTTAACTTGCGTGGCAAAGAAGGAAAGTGGGTATTCTGTTGCCATACCTGGAAGGGAAGATGATGCTCAGATACTCCTGTGCTGTAATTATCACAAGTTATAGGTGAGTTTCAATGTTTAATTTAATGGTATACATTCCAGAGAGGTGGCAGTTCCCCTTTAAGTATGGCTGGACTTTAAAACGTCAATAGAATATGGCAATTTTTTACTGTAAAGGCCAGTAGTATTGAATAGTCTTCTCTTGGGCAGTGTCTGTACTGTAAAGACCATTAGAACAGTATGTTCTTCCTTTGGACACCAGCTGTTCTTTAAAGACTAATATATAATTAGTTTCTCCAGTGGCTGTTGTGAATCAATAGAATAGTAATTTCTTTAAATGAGTGTCTGGCTTTTTGGTAAAGGTTTGATTAGCGCACCTCATCATTTTTCAGAAATTAAATATAACATCTGGACAAGGGAGAGCTCTTGAAACTTCCATACTGCCTACTTTCATGCCCAATACTAGGGTAGATATTGGACAATGTCCTTATCATATAAAAAAAAAAAAAAATTAAACCATCTACATATTTAAAATATCACATTAGTATTCCTTACATGTTTGTAGACTAAAAATAAATATATTGATTTTTGAAATGTACAGGTTGTTTCCTAGAGATGCATATGTACATGACATCAGCTCTCTGCAAGAATGACATGAAAGCCATTGGACTGCAAATGGCCCTTGACCTACTGGCACAGAAAGAGAAGAAAGATTCCATTACTGGCTTGAGGACCAGGACACAGCCTGGAAGGCCAGACTGGCACAAGGTATGACTGCAATGGGCTTAAAGAGGAAACATAGAGCCCTGGTCCAAGAATCAGAAAATGGCCCCCCTCATCGCCCTCCTTGCTCCCCCCTAAGCAATACACCTGTGTGGGATTTTGTGTGGTGGTTGAGTGTGATTGTGCACAAATTGGTTGAGTGGATTCTGTGTTGGATTAGCTAAGTGTGATATATATATGTGTGTAGTTGACTGAGTGTGATTGTATATGAAGTTTGGCTAAGGGGAGCGATACTCCTTGTTTGGGGACACTTCCTTAATGGCATTCCCCTTTGTTGATACTAACATGATGGCTTCACTGCCAACACATTGGAATTAGTGAATCCCATGCTCTCCCACCAAGCGTGGATCCTATCCCTGGGGTGTATGGGTGCTGCTCTGATCTTTGTGCTCTTCCTACACTGCTCCCAAGCACACCTTTTAGTGATGCTGGGGCTAGAGTGATGTCATATCTCAGGTCCTAGTCATGATTAAACTTTTCTACAACAGAATATATAAATCTGAGATCCATCACTACCCCCCCCCCCCCCACCCTCCTCGACCAATACTCTACATTTCAGAAAAGTAGGTATGGGCTACTCTTCATTAGCACAGGGGCAGCCCACCTTGACAAGTGGTACACAGGCAGCCTTTGTGATCCTAGGGTAGTCTGCCACTGTACCACCAACAGACTTTCTCATTATTACAACATCTGTCAAGTCCTGCTGTGTATTTACAGATGATATCCAAGTGCATCTACTGACTCTGCATATGATTTCTTTTTTATTCTAGGTGTTCCAAAAAATTGAGCAAGAAAAAAAGGGCAAAGTTCAGGTGTTCTTCTGTGGGTCTCCTTCATTGGCCAAAGTGATCAAAGCTCAATGTGAGCAGTTCAACTTCAAATTTTTCAAGGAACATTTCTAATAATATATTTACATTTTTTAGATGTGCAAAACTGAAAAAGCATGGCATAAAATGCCTTATTTGCTTCCTTGGTTACACAAACATTATACCTAAATTGCCAATCTAACCAACAGCTTAGTTTAGTGATTTTGCTGCAGTGGGCCCCAGCTTGTTGTTAAACCATTTGGATGCAGTTTGAAAAAAAAAAAGGTGTTTCTTCCCAGCACACTAAAATTGCCCCATCCTCAGCCAACTTGATAATGTGAAATTTACACCACCCCATTATTAAAGGAAAGCACCCGCACTGATAACATACTATCCCAATGTAGTTTTTATGGTAGCAGGAGTGTCTGGACTCCTTTAGCCCTCCTCACGGGCTAAACTGTTTTCCAACGGTTTACCCAAAGTTGGTATCCCAGTGCCCAAAATTTCTGCCACCTCTTTTCTATCCTCCTGGTGGCTACTATGAACAAGAAGGTTTGCTAGGTGGTTGGTGATAGGCTGAGAGTGTCAGTTGACAATCTCAGCCTATTAAGGTTCGCCCATTGAGAGTAATAGTACATATTATTACTACATACTATTACTCTCCATAGTATTGAAGTTACTTATTGGATTGGGAATGTTCCACTCAAAACAGAGCAGTAATAAGTTGAGAACGCTGGGCTAATCCATATCGAGAAACTGAGTTGCAGTAGTTATGCTGCTTAGACTGTCCCTTTAATTCTTGTCACATCAAATTATCTATCACTATACTGCAATGCATTGCTACAAAATGATATAGACAAGTGACTCCAGTATGAACAGCGAGAAAAAAAATATTACAAAGAACTAACAATGAAAACATTATATGAAATTTGCATAACCACCAAGTAGCAGAACGCAATCACATATTTAATATTCTGTCCAACTTACATTTCAACCATATCATTAAAAAGGACCATGCTAAAACTGCTTTGCATACTAATGTTTAATTTATTCGCCCACAGACCTCTTTACAGTCACTCCTTAAAGAACAGATTTTCTTGTCAGAGACTGATGATTTTAAGTACCCAACTTAACTGCTGTCAGTTGACTTCATTTATTCATATAATTTATTCAGAATATGTAAGAAAAACTTGCAAATAAAAGCTGATCTTTCAACGATTGCTTGAAAATCTAGAGTTGCATTGCTGCATGTACATCTAACTTTCTAGTTACAAACTCAAGAGCCAGCTGATTGTTCTCTCCTGTAAATGAAGAAGAGAAAGTCTGCGTACTCTGAAAAGTGTACTTGCTTCCGCACTTGTCTTTCCAATAGTCTCTTTCATCTCTTTTATTTATAGTGAAGCATCACTAGGCACTGCTAACAACTCAATACATAAAGCATGCTTCCTCGTTTTAATCTGTTGCTTATCTACACACACAGACAAGCAGGATTGCAAGCCAGTCCTTGAGGATTATTGAGAGTTGAAGCGGCTTTGTTTAAAATAAACAGTCGAGCTAAAAGCCACTTCTGAACACATTTACATGTCTAAAGCACAAACTGCAAAATCAGAACGTGCAGTACTTCTATTTGCGTTAAGGATTATTGTTTGTTACATGCAATGACTATGAAAGAATCCGTTCTACCTATAATATTAATTTCTTAGGTAAACAAAATGAAGATGTCTCCTGGGTGTTCAGTAAATGATGTGACAGCTAGGCTAGCAATATCTAGTCAAATAAAAATCTATTTATCAGGATCCTGCAACAATTCCCATTTATGCTTCCATGCTTTGATTTCCAATAAATTACTACACAATGCCAACATACAGGGGGACCGATATTATTGTGTCTAAGCACCACAATCACTTTTATTTTATTGATGAAGTGATTTGGGGGTCAGAGATGCTGCTCCTGCAACCTTATGACTGAAAAATTTTAACGTTTTGCAATCCCTGTTCCCCTAGTCGCTATCAATCAGACAGCAACACATGGGGCTTCCAACTGAAATACATTCAATGACTGAGTCTATTTCTACCTCCGGAGTCAGCATGACGGCATGCTGGGTGTGTATCCACTGAAGAATTGGATTGACAGATAGTAGCAATAGCTGTACATGCACAGTGTGTCCAAAATGCTTCTGTATGAGAAGTATTGTGGACACACTGCGCATGCATGGCTATCACCATGATCCACCAATTTATTGTTTTTTGCTGAGAAGCATTTAACTGGTCACTGCACCATATAAACAAAGAGGTTTGTGCAGAAACAAAGAAAAAAGTTCTGTAGCCGTCACATGATTTGTTATTTCTAGGATAGTTATTTATAAAAATATACAGATATTTTTATTTAAAATGTCTTGTTTAAATGCATTAAAAAAAAATGTAATAGGGGGGCTGGGCCTGACCGGGAAGCTGAACAGACATGCTTTCTGTGAGCTCCCGAGCCTGAACCCGATTTTCGGCAGAAAACAGTGGGAAAATCGCCTAATTCAGAACCCCACCGCACCTCACCTTGCTATATGGAGGCAGGGGTACTGGGGGACACATCGCCTGTTCAAATGCTCACTGGGAAACCGGACCGGAGGCTTGGGGCCTACACCATGCAGAGCGGGGAAGAGATGGCTCTCCTGGCTCACCCAACACTGCAGCACCCGAAGCATTGGGGCCCCCCCCCCCCCTCCTTAGGACCGGTGGGGGTTATCCCGGTCCACGCCAGCGAGTAACACATGCATACACGGACCGCAGAAGATGGCAGCGGTCTTAATCATACCCCCAACCAGCAAACCGCTACTGGCAAGATGGCGGCCGAAATGGTCGCCGCCACGTGTGCTCGAGACACAAAGAAATCTGACCTTGAGGCCAGGCTGGACGAGCTGTTCGCCAGATTCTGGAGGACAACAGCCTCCAGGGAGCAACAGTCCAAGGCATACCAACCTGCTACAATCCTACTAGCGATCCCCCAACAAAAGGGCTCACCCCCTCGTGCAAACAAAGCCAGTGGAGGCAAAACTGAACAGCATGTAAGCCCAAACGACTACCACTGCCTATAACAGCGACCCATCAATACCGGGGCCCGGCAAAACTAAACCTGCATCAGAGGCATGAAAAGGCTTCCCTGCAGCAGCGACACACTACGGCAAACGGGCCGGACAAGACCTCCTGCACCGACCGACAATGGATGCACCATACCGCCAAGCGGATCCCTGTGACCAGACTGCAGGCCCCGCGATCTGGAGTCGGCTAGGTGATCACTGTAAACTGGCTACCGGAGCTCGACACCTACTTCGGGTTCCACTGGGACACTTATTAATCTTACTTACAATGCAGACATATCGAATTACAGACAGCGGAGGACTCTAGTTACGGCAAGAGAGCAAATATGTACCTTGATAATCATTTATTGTTTTATTTATTTTTCTTTAGCTGTATATCTGCCTTATAACTATAACTAAGCACCACATGCACAGCCAGCCCCATTATCGCCAACTAACCACTATGCTCAATGCCTTATTAGCGCTGGGTACTTGCAGCACACAATTTAATTTGGCACACAGCTCTGTCCATGCCAGGGGCCACGGGGGGAACTCCAAGCGGGAATGCGCAACTACATACCGAGCTTCTCCGAATATAGCCTCACTCTTGTTCCCAAGGTTAGTCCAACACGGTCACCAGTGTGACCACTAATCTATAGTCATAACGACCAGGAGGGCTCTAGTAAATCACAAGCTCAACAGGTATCCTTAAGTAGACATATCAGCCTGTTAGGATGAGGTGCGACTCAACATTCTACTGACCTATGCCAGCCATATCAATACATATTCTGTAACCATACCCCTTGCTGCTGCCACTAGCAATAACTAAACTGCTGACTTACACAGACTTGCTCTAAAACATGTGGTAATCCGCTCGCAGCTTGAATAGCTCGTGACACTTCAATATAATCACCTGTTTAGGAAATTAAGCGAGATCACTCTATGTTATGTTAAGCAAAAGCCTACACAAAGTAAAGCTATACTGTTTCTATCCTTACATATAAAAATGTGCTTGTTCTACCTTGTACCTCTATGTTCAACTGTTCGTACTGTGCTAGAGGATTGCCTTTGGGGTACCTCACAAGCAATTGTTATACGCTTACGCACTACAAAAATAAAGAATAAAAAAAAATAAAAAAATTAAATAGGCATTTTAGACTAGACTATTTAAACTTGATGCCATGTAGCAATAAACACATTCCTTAGAAAAAAAAAAGGTTCTTTGTGTGTTTTGCTGTTAGTTGCCTATACGCCCACATCATTTGAAAATCATATTCAGAAGACTTTGTTCACCAAGCTGTGAATTATATAGAACATTTGGAAACAGTCTCCAGCTCAGGGTATAAATTAGACCATTTTGTAGTGTGTGTGAATGAATGGCAAGTGACACCATGCAGCTCTAACTGATGGAGTGCTACAATTCCAAAGCCTAAGGACTATGAAAATTTAACTTGACCATTTCCTCCACTCATCTTTACCCTCCATGACATGAAGAAAGAAGTTGTTTACTGAGATCCTACGCAGTAGTTCATTACCTCTGCCACCAGCAACCTACCTAGCCTGAGTGGTCATGCATCAAGATGTAATGGTTGGACCATTAAGGTTGGACCATTTGCCCAGTCTTCCTTATTTTTTAAGTAACAGGCCTGTCGGCATTTGATCTATTAAGGTACACATTAATATTCATTAGATAGAGGCGGTCCCCATGAAATCGCTCCATGTCCTTCCACTTATTTTCCAGTAATAGTAGTTTCACGCCCCCTGACAGGGGAGTGAACAGGAAAGGGGAATTCATTGGTGCCTAATGAACCTGATTGCTGGGCAAACCTCCTTTACACAGCAGTTGCTACTTATTTGCAATTAAGAATGTGTATATACTTCAGACCACCCAGGATACATTTACTGCGCCTGACGACAGCGTGCTGACACGCCAAAACGCGCGTCGAGCTATTTGTTTATTATTTTTTCACCTTATTCACTACGTAGCACTATGCACTACTTTTAGTTAGTTAAGTGTGTGTTTTTTAACTTAGTGGAGGAAGGGACAGAGGTTCTGGTAGGCATTAGTGGATGCTCCACGGTGCCGAGGTACTATAGGGACAGTCTGGCTTTCTATCAGCACCTGGCTTTGGGGGATTTTGCAGGAGGGGAGGGGGGCTCTCTCCTACTTCTGCTTGGTTTTTCTCCCTCCCTTTAGACTACCTTGCTTATTCCTACCCCTCTGTGTAGGTAGGCTGACATTTTTGCAGTTATTTTGCAGCTATACTAGTAATCTAGACATAAGCCTTATGGTATGTTGTATATTGAGACATTTATGCAGCCTTTCTAGGTTTGGCCCTTCCTCTTTATGGTTTATGCTCCCTTATTGTTTCCCTAGAATTATTAAAGGTAGGGCTTCCTCTTTTCTTCTGTTATCCTCTCAATTGGACTTATAGTCCAAATCTTTTTCTTTGTCTTCTGCTTTATAGTGGGTTATCCCCACATAGAGGATAATAAGTGGGGGGGTTTTCTGGAATTTTCCATTTATCCCTCTATAGGTAGGGATTTATTGGATTCTTTCCTTCATATTTTTCTTTCACTACAAATAAAACAAGTATGCATAACAGAGGGCACCAGACACCAGTGCTAATACAGCATCGAGTTACCAATCAATATGTGTATGGATCCTACTCAGGGCCGGCCTTAGGCCATTAGGCGCCGTGTGCGACAAGGCTTCATGGCACCTCCTCACCATGTTTCCTGTATACAGGCTCACACACAGACACAGGCAGACAGTCAAACAAACGGTTACAAGCAGACAGTCAGACACACTCAGTTACAGGCAGAGAGTCACACACACACACAAAGTTACAGGCAGACAGTCACACATGCTCAGTTACAGGCAGATAGCCACACACAGTTACAGGCACACAATCACAAACAGTTACACACAGCAGAAAGTCACACATGCAGGGAGGCAGTCACACACACAGACAGACAGTCACACAAACAGGCAAACAGTCACACACAGGTAGGCAGTCACACACACAGAGGCAAATAGTTTCACACAGGCAGTCAAGACAGTCACATACAGGCAGGCAGGTGGGCAGAAAGTCTTACACACACAAAGGCAGGCACACACACACAGGCAGTCACACACAAAGGCAGGTAGTCACACAGACAGTCACACACACAGGAAGAGACAGTCACACACACAGGCAGACAGACAATCACACACAGGCAGGCAGGCATTCAATCACACACACACAGGCAGGCAGACAGTCACACACACACAGGCAGACAGTCAGACAGACAGTCTCACACACACACAGGCATACAGCCACACAGGCAGACAGTCACACAGACAGACAGTCTCACACACACACACACACACACACAGGCATGCAGACACACACACAGAGGCAAATAGTTTCACACAGGCAGTCAAGACAGTCACATACAGGCAGGCAGGTGGACAGAAAGTCTTACACACACACAGGCAGTCACACACAAAGGCAGGTAGTCACACAGACAGTCACACACACAGGCAGACAGACAATCACACACAGGCAGGCGGGCATACAATCACACACAGGCAGGCAGACAGTCACACACACACAGGCAGACAGTCAGACAGACAGTCTCACACACACAGGCATACAGCCACACAGGCAGACAGTCACACAGACAGACAGTCTCACACACACACACACACACAGGCATGCAGACACACAGGCAGACAGTCACACAGACAGACAGTCTCACACACACACACACAGACATACAGATTTACCTCTTTCCATTTTGGCTGGAAGGGGGAGTGGATGCACTTGGTTGTTGTCCTTCCTTCTTCCCTCTTCCTGTGCAGAGGCTTCGGGTCTGTATTAGCCCCACCTCCGCCTCGCGATAAGCCCCGCCTCTGCCGGTCATTAAGGCCCACCCTGCTGTTTTTTTTGTTTTGTTTTTATAGATACGGGTGGAGAATAATTAATCCTCCACCCAGGTACCTATTTTAGATCCCCTGACACCGGTCATGTGCAAGCTGTATCGGCCACATGGCACCCCCTGGTCCAAGGCGCCCTGTGCGGCCGCACAGCTCGCACACCCCTAAGGCCGGCCCTGATCCCACTTGATATTTCCACTTGGATAATGATTTTTTCATATGTGGGAAAAGACAAAAATAAAATTCATAGTGCAATAGGCACATTTATTACAAATAGATTGAAAGAAAGTCAACACATTCACAAGAAAAGTTGAGCAATATAGTGCACAAAAACAACTGCCACTCAGCAAAAGTGTATAGGGCTATGCCGATTCATTTAATGAGACACTCTTTGAATTCAGATTTAGTAAAGACTCGCCATCTGACTAACATAGACGATTTTTTCCACGGTAATGCTATTTTATCATTTGAAAAACTACAATTCAAGCATAAATTGATGGAAGAATGTAAAGATGAATGTATGATGGTTATTGATAAATTGAAGGAATTATACAAAGTAACAGACACCGACAAAAATTACAAAATATTGGAAATTTCACCACTGGAAAAATTATTTTTACATAACCCAAATAGGAAAGGCACGATATCATTATGTCATTTATTGCACAATACCAAACCTACTGTTAAATTCAAACACATGCTGTCCTGGGAAGCGGAGCTGGGTACCCAATACGAGTTATCAGAATGTTTTTGCTTTTTTTCAGCACTGAAGGGAATTTCTTTTTGTTCTGACCATTTTGAAAATCATTTTAAAATTTGATATCATTGGTACTTAGCTCCGTCCAGGCTACATAATATGAATAATAAATACACCGACCGGTGCTGGAGAGACTGTGGCGGATTGGGCAACATGGCCCACATATGGTGGTATTGCCCAAAAATATCCTCATATTGGAGAATGATATATGACTTGATCGCCAAAGTAGACAGCAGCATTGACATTTTAACATTAGACTTAGCTTTATTTAAAAAAATTCCCTGTCACCACCCCCACCATCCCCGAGTCCGCCAACAGAATTAATAAAATAATAATAGGCCACATCCTGATAGCCGCCACTTCGTGCTTACCTAGGTACTGGAAAACTAAACATACTCCTTCGATTAAAGAAGTACTAAAGCTGGTCATAAGTCACACGAACTGTCACACAGAAACAACTCACACATCTTTGCTACATTGGGATTTATGGGAAGTTGAAATGAAACGAGTTTATAATTTGTAAGACTTGCTTTCTAACTGTACAGTATTTGTAGTTTACATGCCTTGTACATTATTTTA